AGATATGACCAATCCCATAAAAGATCCGTGAAATGTATTTATAAGGAAACAACAGGTAGTAAAAAGTACAAATGATTTGCTTGCCCTATTTTTTTAGCATGATGTGTTGTGAATAGAAAAAAACATATATGACAGTATAGTAACTAAATTAAGGCACTTGAGTTCGGGATACATTACTGTGGATATGTATTTATTAAAAAAAAAGGTAGAGGAGACATTTAACAGTAAATTAAGTAGCAGCATTAATTATGCAGTTTTTTTCAGGAAAGTTATGTAAGTGCATTTTTATGCATATAATGTGAGTAAGAAAATATGTGCAGATGAAAAATAAATTTAAGAAGATTTTACTAGATCCATGACCTTTATGATTACTGGCAGACTTTAAAAAGGGAATTATGTTTTATAAATACCTATGTATAATGTATTGACTGCTGTCGGTTTCCCACAGATTAATGACATTATAATATACCAGCCCTACCAGGGTCATTAATCCATGATTATCTGTGTCTACCTCTAAGACACCTTCTCTACTGGGTATAAACAAGATACATGCAGTTCCATCTCCCGGGTCTCCTTGAGAAGGGCCCATGAGATATGAGATCTAGTGATCTAGTCTGATCATCAAGTGAGGATCTGGTGATCTAGTCTGACCATCAACTTGGGGGGGGGGGGGGGGTGTTGGTGATCTAGTTTAACCATAAAGTGGAGATCTAGTACTAGTACTAGTCTAATTATCAACTGGAGATCTAATGATCTAGGTTAGTCCTCCCTACTGTACCTTGCACTTAGTTTACATCCTACTTACATTTACGAGTAAAATGTGGTAGAACAAGGCTATTCAACTCTCAGTCCTCGAGGTCCGAGCACTGCTGGTTTTCCAGCCTTCCTTTACCTGTGAGCCCGGTGTGAAGCCTCTGGCCAATCAGAATCAGTAATTATTAAACTACCTACCTGGGAGAACTGAAAACACGGCCTGGATTTGGATCGGACGGCCTGACTCTAATAGCTCTGTGGTAGAATATAGTCAGCAACCAACTTCACAAGCGAGGAAAAACAAGTCAACAGACATGGACAAAAAACATAAAGACAAGTGAATATGCTATGAGGATGAACAAAACAGAGATCAGTTCTAAATGTGCTGCTGACACGGATGCTGGTGTTCTTTATTATCAATTCCATTTATGTCCAGCAGTAAAGATGGTTTTCTTACTCACTATTTATTACTATTTATTAACTTGTCTCACACATTGAAATTTCATAACCCCGATTACAACACTTGCCAGAATGGTTGTGGATGCAAATTTATTTTTATGTTGTACGCTTGGGAACTATTAAGTTATAGTTTATTCCTGTTATTTTATTGTTCGTTTTACTTTAAAGGGTATAGTTTCTGTTTTTTAGGGAAGAAAATTCATAATGTTTGTTTTCTCATGTTGTTCACTTGGCAGAAATATTCTGAAAGCACTAGATATATTAGGTATAAGTACCATTATATAACAAATGGTAAACGTGGGAGTGTTTAAATAGAATGTCATCAGGTGTGATTTGGGAAATTACGGAAATTATTTTTGACATGGAAAAAGTATCACATCAAGACTGTCACTGGCACCGTTTGAACATGAACATAAATATGTTTCTGGCTGATATAGATGTTTACAGGCCAGAATATGCTGCTCTCGTCCTCCACTGTGAGAGTGTTTTGAGGAGTTTGAATAAACATCACGTTTTCAGCATGTTTAAGATTTTATGTACTGGTCATGCAGAGTACAGATCTTCACCGTGTAAACAGATATTACTCTCCATTTCATTATTCACAGAAATCTGTCTCATTTGCCAGCCAAATCCTTTCATTTTTTTTTAAGGAATAACTTTATGATTTTGTTGGTACACGGGCACGTACCCAAATAACGGCAGTTCATCGGTAAACATTTTTGGGAATTTGAAAACTGCCTCCTATAAACATTGAGATGCAAAGAGTAAGGCCCTGCTTTAGAGAGTCCTGACACTTTTAAAAAACATCTCCTCTATGTTGCTAAGCAACCAATAATGGCACAGGAAACACCAAATATCAGAACTGGAATGTAAAAAGGATTGCAGACAATACTGTACTAATGTTGGTTTTCACTGAACTGTTTGCTCAAGGAAAGTAAGCTTGAATGCCTAAATTACTGTTATTTAAATGTTCCTTTTAAAATATACATCAACTGCTGATACAAAATACACTTGTTCAGGGGGGTGCTTTTAAAATACACACTAAAAGCATATGTTTATCTTTGTCCTATTTTGTTGACTTGAACAATGTTTACTAATAATCCCATTTCAGTTAAACAGTAGTTATTTCAGTTATTCAGTGACACAAATATTAAATGAAAAATCTGAATAGAATTCTAACAAATGAGCATCCATCTTCCAAATGCTTACCTTGGTCAGGGTAGAGGGGGAAATTTAATTGAACCTTACTAATGACATTAGTTTGATCATTTTTTATTTCCCAGAATTGAATTACATACTGTATAGATATAAATATTATGTGCATTAAATAATAAAACAAGTAATCTACCTTTGTCATCCCACACTGTTATTTTTAAATTGTTTGTGCAAGTCAAATAACACTTTTTAATGCTAAGCATCAAAGATGGTTCTACTAAGAGCAGTCTAGTAGGCAGTTTATGACAAACTATAGCACGCTATTTAATATGTTTTACTGTTTAGTATGGTTTACAGACGAGGGTGGCGTGATGGTGCAGTGGTCAGTACCTCGATTCAAGTCTCTGCCACGGTTCCATGTATGTGGAGTTTGCGTGTTCACACCGTGGGGTTTCCTCTGGGTACTCTGTTTTTACCCCACAGTCCCAAAACATACCAAGGCTAATTGGACTTACCAACTTGCCTATACATATGAGTAAATAGTGTGTGAGTGTGCCCTGTGATGAGTTGGTGCCCCATCCTGGGTTGCTCTCTGCCTTGCGCCCATAGGCTCTGGACCCCCCATGACCATGAATGGGATAAGTGGTTTCAGAAAATGGATGGATGATTTACAGATTCTCAATACAGTATTGCTCCCAGAATCAATGGAGATCTTTCAGTGATTTTATTTCACCATTATTTTCTCTATATACCTCAGAGTCTGAGAATTGTTTTGTTTATTTGGGAAATTTCAGTTGCAAAAATGTATTTTTTGACCTGCCTGCAAGTGGTGTTTGTAAGTGTTTGAATCAGCTCATAAGCACCAATGAAATGGCTGACAGCCAGCTCTTCTGGAACATCTGGGTGCTGGGAGTCTCCTGGAAATGGACACAGACACCCATCGCCTAGAAAACCAAAAATTTGGCCCGCCTAAAATAGCTCCAAACAAAAATCAACTTTTATTAGATCTCATAATGATGTCTCCCTCTGCCTTGTAGAAATTATTCTTATTATTCTATATTTTTTATATAAATTAGGAATTATTTAATATATTATTGAATAATTTACAGACTATTTACATGAAAACTGAGTATATGATGCAGATTTTAATGCACCTTGATGAACCAGAAACTGTCTGTATTACAATGACTACAATTTGTTTCTGTTGCTCTTATGTTTAATCTGTGTTTCATCCTAGCCAAAACACACATTACCCTGTTCTGGGGTTTGACTATCTAATTAGTGGGCTACTATTGCAAATTTTATTCTATTGGCCATTTTGCTAACATTCAAATGATTTTTTTGCCAGGATACCCATTTGTTCTTGAAATGATTACGGTAGCTACTTATTTCTTTTAAATTTGATACTTTTACAGACATGCAACAGATATTATAAAAGATATGAATATACTGCTGCATGCAACAAGTATTGTAAAGTCCATTGGATAAGACAGATGAAAGTAATTCATTATGTAGGAGAATAATTGTTTAGAAACTCATTGTCCTCCCAATGATTTGACTGTTTATTGGCAACTTTCATGTGTTTTAGGGTATGATAAGATACTATGCATAACAGATCAGTCAAGGTTCCCATGCAAGGATTCCTTTTGATCTTTTAAACTGTAAAAAGTCTTCCCCATAATGGTACATCAAAGAATAATTGATCGAAGCTTCTATGACATCTAACCTTTAACCTCCTTAGGTAAAATTGTGAATTACATGATAAAATCTGAGATCATATCTGTGTAGTGACTTCTCTATGTCATTTTATGAGACCTGTAACATAAAAATATACACATTTATGCATTGCAGGCTTTCCCATGTACTGTTTCTAACTGCTTATCTATGTAAATTGTAGCCAGGACGTATACGGCATACGTTACACAGAACGCCAGAACAGTCACACAGACACTAGCACAAGTTGTAGAAGGATGAGTGATTTCCCAAGCAAAATATGTTTCAGCTGTTAACATGTGAGGCTGAACAAAATTGAAAATAAAAAAAAATGGCTTTACCCCTTACATTTTAATTAGGTCGTACGTGTTTCTAGAGTACCTCACCTACAGTATATATGTCCAGGAGATTCCAAAGACTTGCACAGCAAAGTTGTTGCAATCATTTGAGTACCATCTAGTTTATGTCTTAATTCATTACAGCAGAGTTTTGATATAAACTAAAAAGAAGATATTTGTTTTTGTTATTATCACTGAGGTAATGGACACTGATATAATATCATGAATTATTTCTTTTAACTTAAAATTGATTTATTGAATAACACACCAAGGACACTGCATGATGAAAATGGTATTTTATGGGGTTATTTGTGTTGCACTTCTTAATATAGTGACAGAATCAATGAAGGCTAACAGTTTTTATTATCTCCTATAAGAACATTTGATTGTGAATGTGCAATGGTAGTATTTTGGTTTTGACCCAAGAGTGTTCCCTGCTTTTCAGTGTTTTGGCCTAGACCTTAATGCAAATGTTAAGCAGTTTCAGTGCATTTAAAATATAAATCAACAAGCTATGGTTAACAGTTGACTGTCTGCTTTAGAGATTTCTGACATTAACGGGGTGTTTTATTGTCCTTACAGCTGTACAGTTCGGTTGATTTTGGAAGAAAGTGGCTTCTAGTCCATGAACACGTAACACCAAACAGATTCTACTGGTATGGTACATATTACGTCTTTTCGTCCAAAAGCTTACACTGTGATTCATATGCACCTGTAAAATATGCTGTATGTACTAGGTGTGAGGGTGTTCTTTAATAGTGCTGACCATTGTAAGCAAACCTATGTTTTATTTGCTAAAACCATATAGTTTACCTTGCTTATGTTTTATTCTAACTTTGCATTTCAATATGGGAGAGAAGAGTGGGTTTAGAAATACAAGCGGGCAAGAGCACAAACATATCAATAAATAACATTCACAAAAGAGATGGGAGAAAAGCACCCAGAAATTTGGGTAAAACTTGTTAGCTTTACTTTGCACGGAGTTAAAACTATAAAAAACAGTCCAATATCAAATACTGTAAATAAAACATTGCTGTTGCATGACTGATGAGTCCTTAAAACATATCAGACAAAAAGCATAATCTTACTAATTATTCTGTGGTTTGGAAATCCATACACCTATTCAATAACAGTTCGCCTATGTTTGGAATGTATGCACCATAGAAATCACCAAATAGTATTAATTAAACAACAATAATGAGCAATAGAATCCAATGCATTTTACTAAATGTGTGGAAAAACAAAAATAGACAAACAACTTGGATATATGTTTTCCGACTTGTTTGTATCAAATTACCATTTATTGCATATTCATCACAAATGTTATTTAGAATTTATTCTGGCTCGTTGCTTTGGAGATGCTAGGCTCTGCTTGCCCCAGGCCATGTCCTAGATGCTAATCTAACACAAATAAATCAACAAGCACTTTCATTACCTAGCATTATCCTAAACGATACAGTATACTCAACCTATCCTCCATACAGTGATATGTAAACATTGGTCTCAGAATAAAGCAGCCAACATTCATTTAAATTATCCATCTGCTCTAGCACTCAACTGCAGAAAATTACAAGAAACAGTATAGGCAAAGAATAACATATCTCCCAGACAAATATAAAACAACAAAGTATAAACATAATTGGAACGTATTGGAAATTTCTGGATGTAATGCTACAGTAATCATTATTATAATATTTTTTTGCAAAAAAAAATCAATGAGCTGTATTCCCCTATCTTGTGAAGAAAGATAAAAAAAAGATTCCTCAACCCCTTCAAAGCACAGCAGAGTTAATAATAAGAGTGATTATGCTCACAATTGTGGTAAGTCAGCTTCAGCCCTGAAGGTGAGAAGGAATATTTCTGTTCAATAAATTTGACAGGCGGTCAATAGTCAAAGTTAAGTACAGGACCGGTGTCCATGCATCTTAATTATGATAAAAACCCCTGAAGCTGCTTTGAACTACTTGAAAACACTTAGGAGAAGCATTTGAATGGCCAGACAGTTGAGTGTTACAATAACCTGATGAATTTAATGAATGCAATAATCAGCTTTTTCCCCACTTCATGCAAAGACACAAAAACCATCTAGATGCACCTTAAAATCTGAGAACATATTTCAAAGTACCTAGTAACATCATAATTGTTCTAACATAGTTCAGAAAAAACTGTGGTTATAGGTTTTACGCAACAAAGGCGGCCGCAAGGACATTGACTAACCAGCCAATTTCAGCAGTGATGCTCGTCTAGGGCACCACATAAGACGGGGACCATCCCTAGGGTCATATATATTTACTAAATCCAAGGTGCTCAACTTTGGTCAGCTGGCTGGAGTGAGATTTTCAATTCAAGACAAGTCTGTATACACGTGCCCATACATTTACATGTAACAGTTTTATTACCTTGTAGTCCGTTGGGTTTGAAACCTACCTCAATGCTTTTAATGTAACTAATTTTAGGTTTACAATGGATTAATATTGATTTGCTGTAAGATTTCTTGCATAAGTGTGAGAGTCTGAAAACGTGAGTCTCATGCCAGATGTGTGAGTTGGCAACCCTGACCAAATGACTATACAGTACATAAATCACTGTACCTGACTAACACTGAGTATTTGGAACATATATTATTTACCATTTATCCAAGAAGCTGGTAATACTATGGCAGACAAGACCTCGAACAGGAGAGCCCTTGTTTGCTATTATTGGATAGCATGAAAGTAGACAATTGATTTGCAAAAATAAAAATGGAAAGATTGAGGTACGTCTGTGGAAAGACACATCATTCAGTGTTTGAACAGAATACACGAGTAGAGGCTTGATTATAATCACATTGGCACATATCCAGCCAAATCAAAAGGTAATGTCTACTTTCTGGCAGTTTTATTTTTTTATCCATTGACTTTGTTGCATTGGGATCAAGTAAAGCAGCAATTTGTTTTACATCTTGTTACACATACCTGTATACTTACAGACAATTTACCCAGTATGCCTAGCAGCAAGAACAACTAGCCAATTGTTGCTAGTGCCTGGAAACTATGTGGCCAATTATTGTCAATGAGCTACAAACTCAGAAAACAAATTCTGAAAGCACATGCAAAATGAAAAAAACGCTGCAAATTTGCTCACAAAACAACAGAAGTTTCCAGAGGACTGTGAAACCAGACATACCATTACGGCTGAGTGGTATATCGAATGTTTACAGTATATCGATATATTTTCAGAACAAGATAGAGGATTACACAGTACCATTTATAACTATATACTTTTTTGCGTGTTAAAATTAGGGCTCTACTAAAGTTTTTTAATAGAGGCCAATAGTATTCCCTCCTTGTTTTACGCAAAATGAAAGCTTCGGTTGTGACATTTTCACAGAATCCCAGAATTCACCGCTTAAATCAAACCATTCAGTTAGCATCTCACAGGGACGTTTATGGAGGGGAAAGGCAAGGAATTATTGATATATTTCACAAGTGGTTTTGATTTAAAGTTGAGCATTTAGCATACTTCATAGAAAATATTGTGTATCGCTAGTCTGCCTAAAAATGCTGAGATGTTTTTGGTCCATATCGCCCAACCCTATGGACCATACAGGGGAGATGTGGACATGCAGTTTAACAAGCCCCAAAATAATTGAGATCTATGTTGTTGTTTTTTTTTGTTAGCTGACTATGACTACAGTATGTTTACATGCGATAACTCGTTTAAAATGTTTACATGTGTTTTTAATGGCCCTATTATGTAGCTAGTCATGTAAACGCAGTTATCGGGATATTAAAAACACATGTTAGGACATGTAGGTACCAACATTATACTGTTTTATTTTTTAAGGGCTGTCCCTATGCTACTACTTAATCTTAGATGTGCCTCTCGTATTACATGGTTTTGTAACAAATTTGTCTGCTAGTTAGTCTATGCTACTGCTGTGCTTTATGAAACACATAAGGGTTTCTTTCAGTATGGTGAAGATATCTGGAGACATGGAGATTAAATACAGCGTCATAGTCTTTCTATTTCATTTCTTCAACATTCCCTTTCATTTACGTTTATGTCGCGTTGAAAGAATGCTTAATAAAGGTGGTGGAGGTTTTAATCACGCCCTAATTATAATCCAAAAGGTAGACAATAAGGCACTATGAATTATGACCCCTAAGAACTGCTTCAAATTGAAAGTGTCACATAAGATGAATAAGCATATACCCTATGCAATATCATATCACACGGGAGAATAGCACTTCTGCTGTTTTTGTTTTCATTAAACGCTAATGTAATGCAATCGTTGATTGTGGTTAATAATCAACAATCAAAAGTTTTGACAACTAAATTAGTGTCAGCAGCATACAGGGCTTTTCTGTTTCTAATTCCATGTAGAAAGAAAGTTTATTGTATAATTTGATTATTCTTATGAAATTATAATTGGTTTACCTGCTCTGTCACAACATAGGGCAGTAATAGGTTTGGACAAGGAGTTAGACCTGATTCACATGGAAGCCCACACAGCCAATGGACGTGAGTATTTCTTACTTTCTTCACTTTTAGTGGACCAGATGTCTTGTCCCTAGAGTATAGTTCTGGATTAGTTTACTAATAAATGCTACACATTGTGTTTGATTAAGAGAGCTTTCGTTTGATCTGTGTAATGAAGTTAATGTCCTCGCCATGATTATGCAATGCCATTGTTATAAAGGCATGCTGTAGGTAAGATATTTATTTCTTAGTGATGTTTGCAAAATATCAGGAGGTACATTTCAAATTAAAATGCAGACGGACAAAGTTATGAGCACAAAGGGCATTACTACAATTTCTTGCTCATGTATAATCATCTATATGTGTCAAAATGAAATTAACGGTCTGCCCCAGGTTATCCCAACTCCATGAAAACACATTGTTTCAGACTGGTATAATGTTCAATCTATTGCTTAATACCTTAAACTGTAATTTAAACTCTGATGGATATGTTGCTTGTCAAATCTATAGTATTGTTATCATTGATGCAATTCAACTTATATTCTAGCGCAAGGTAAGTACATACAAATTTGGAAGGTACTGAATATCTTAAACTGGAAGATACAGTAGGTGCAAAAGTGCATGCCATTTTCTTAAGTTTAAAAAGTAATGTTATGCAGTATTTTATATTTTAATTTTAGTTAGGTTATCAAAAACAGCTAAACACTAACTGAACTGAGTAGAGCAGACTTTTTAAAATTATGTTAAATTTGTTTTAAATAACTTGTATCAAAGCTGTGCATTTACAGTACCCAGCCACAAAATCACAGTTTTTAATCATTTTTAGGGGCACAATATGTAACATGCAAGGTTCAAGGATGCTCTGACTCAAGCAGAAATGATCCTTTCCCTGGATATATTGACACGAGTTCCCTTGTAGTTCAGGATGACTACATGTTCATTCAGGTACGTGCATCGATTTATCTCTGTTTGACAGAATATTATGTAATGTGACTGCAAAATATTTTTTGAAATTGTAATTTGTTTATGGAGTATTATTTAGATACACATTTCCTACTGAGTGCCAAAATATCTATTTTAAATAAATGCATCACACTACAGATCTATGATAAACTGATCTAATTATAGTAATTATACTAGGCATTCGCCTTTAAAGGTCAATATAGCCGCAAGCTTGAAGGAAGTAATCTAACACTTTTGTGGTAAACAGTCTGATAAGCTTTTCTTAATTCTTTGATTGTGCATAATTATACCTGTCCTGTATTCAGATTGACTGCTGTTGCAGAGATTGCCTTTGTATTGCAAATGATATACGACAAGTGAAACTGCTCTTACATGACACGCAGAGGTTTCTGATTCTCGTCAGATCCGTCTTCATTGATCCTGACAATTTGATACCCATTTTATGTGATTCCCATAATATGCCAAAGGTTTTAATATAGTAGCTTTACATTTGGCATTTAAAAATGAATAGACAGCAATGATACTTTGGCTTTACAAGCCTGTAAAAAACATGTCTACCTTACCGTTTATTAAATGCCTGTATACATTCATTTTGGATTGGACATTGTGCGGCACTAAAATATTTTATGTGCTCTGGGAGAAACTTTACTCATGCATAGATTATTCCTTATGTTTGCATGAAATAAGGCATGATAACTATTCCTGCACAATACAGAAACCTGCTAAGGTGAATTGGAATTGCCAAATTGTCCATGGGTGTGAATGTGTGTGTGAATGGAGCAGCATGTGATAGGATGGTGCCCTGTCCTGGGTTGTTCCCTGTCTTCGCCCCTTGGTGTCCGAAATTCACTGTGCACCCCCATGACTCTGAATAGGGCAAGCGGGTAGAGAGAATGGATGTATTTATTAACAGTTATTTTATTCTGTTTGGTAAACAGAAATTGCTTATTATATTAGTTTCATTTGGTTAATTAGCATTTAGTTTGCTTCTAATTGGTCAGTATGATACCACACTCAATTTCTTATGCACAGATTTTGCAGAAACTTATTTTAAAGTTTATTTGAGAATGAGAAATTTAAGTTTAAAAGCAGGGATTCTGGTTTGGAAATGAAGATTTTAGTCCACCTTACTTATATTTAATATTTAGAAATTTGACTATGAAGATCTTTACATATTCAGACGGCTAAAGTGTAAGAATCTGGTAAATTATAAAAATACAACCTACACAAAAAATGGTCTGTTCACCTCAGGGGCACTTTTAGAATTCGACCTTACGGGGGGGGGGGACCAGCATCCGCTAGGTTTGCCACTATCAATCTAAAGAAATTCGGACACTGTGTCCCCTATGTCCCCCAGTGGGGATGGGGTGGTAGACCGTTAAATTTATAAGAGGTGTGTCTATAGTCACAAAGGGTTCACCTCTATGTTGTTTTGTTTTGTTACTTGTTGATTTACGATTGTAAGTGAACACAGGGTGACAGTCACTAAAAGACGTCTATTGGGAAAACATCACGATATTAATTGCTAATAATATATTGATTGGTTCACTCAGACTTCAGATTGAGGCGGTGGCAAGAATTTGCTTAACTGTTGTGTATTTTGCCGTTAGACTTTTGAGTCACAAAATGATTATTCTAGGTAAAGGGTTCTAGAAATATATTCTAAATATATTGTGAAAATGGCTTATATAAAAGTGGGTATTATGCTATCCAGATACACAAAATAAACAGAAGCTGAGTTTTTTTTGCCTGTTTTCATTCTTCAATAACTTTGTTTACATAAATAAATCAGTGTATTGTGGAACTAATGTAAGTCACCTGAGTTACACAGTATTATTGTTTTTTTATCAGTATTATAAGTGATTTTTTATCATATAATTCCTGTATTGTAATGACTTAATGAAATTAGATGTATTAATGGTTTTTATGTATGAGTACAATGGGTCAAGTGAAAACTATTCATTTGGATGGATGCATACTAATACAAATTAATCTCTATTGCTATTTTCAGGTTACAACATCGGGACGAGCGAGTTATTATGTATCATATCAGAGAGAACCATTTATGAAGATCAAACTACCTAAATATTCCCTTCCAAAAGTAAGCATAACTGAGTAGATATTCTACACGTTTATTATACTGATGCAGCTTGAATATACTGCATTATGTATATTCCGGCTGGGGCAGCATGTGGCACAGTGGGCTGTGCCCGTCATCAGAAGGTCACCAGTTCAAACCCAGCCTCAGCACATCTGTAGCTCCTTGAGCAAGGTCCTTAACCCCCAGCTCCATGGACGCCACAACTGGTGGCTGCCCTTCAGAGACAGCTTACTCTGCAAAGAGCAAGTTGGAGGAGACATAAAGGGATCAATAAAGTATCAATTATTATTAAGTTGCATTATTGAAAAACTTTTATTCCCAGGTCATTATCCTGACATGACATAATTTTCAGGAATTGACATAGTGGTACGCAAGCATGCATCTGCAGTATATAGGTTAAAATGTACAGTAATCTCTTGTCGTAGCAGTGCAGATGCTTATAAAATAAGTATGCTATGTTATGATGAGAAATTACTGTGCATTTTAACCTAAATACCACAAATGTGTGTTGTGTATCAGTTATTTCAGTCCCTGATTAAATTACATGTATGCTGTAATGTATGCTGTTTCCTTTCTTTATGAAAGAGACCTTTTATATCCTTGCCTTTGAAATTAATTTTCAAATTAAGACTATATTAGCCTGCCTCATTTGTGATTTATTATCTCATAACAGGTTAGAGGCTGGTTTCTGTAATGCAATAGATAGCAATAATATTGTAAAATGTTTAGATACTTAAAAACCTTGAATGGTTTGATTTTCATGGCTTACTTCTTATAGCAGCAGTTGTCTGAATACTTAGAAAGACGGCAGGTGATGTTCACAGCAATGGATTTGTAACTGGTTACTGTTTTCTCATTGTAGTGAATTATACACCAAGAGAGCTTGTGCGTATTTTATAGCATTTTCTAACACTGAACCTATTTCAGGTCACAGTCTGCAATAGTCGTGTCAATGTCAGAGGAACTTGTGTCATCTAGAGTTGAGTCACAGGGACTTCAGCAAATAACACTCGACCATCCATCATGCTGAATTGAGTCAATATAAGAGTCACCATCTGTCTAACCAGTACATTAAGCTTGTTCTTTTTGTTGTTTTGTGAAGCAATCATATTTTTTTTACAGAAAAGTCTTGATGATGGATACATATCTATCTAGGTGTAGTTATGGTTTTAACAATAAATACAGAAAAGATGTCAGCAAGATATCAGAATGAATACTGTATAAATATGAATATCAGTAGCACTATTTCCCTCTACAATCCAAAGACATGTGGTTTAGCTGAACCGATTTCTTTAAAATGTACAAAAATGTATTCTTGTGTACCTTGCAATGGACTGATAGCCTGTACCCTCCCCTGCAGTTCCTATTCATACACTCAAGGCTTACAATAACCAGAGAAGCTATTATGGAAGATAAATGGATATGATTTAAATTCCAGATTCTTTGCACACACACACACACACAGATTTGTAATTATATCTTTGTGGGGACTCTCCATTCATTTCTATGGGGAAAACTCAAATCCCGTCAATGACGACCTTAACCCATATCCAGCATTTTTAGTTTTTTTTTACTGCAAAGAGGGTTCCAGCTCAGTGTTGGGTTGCCATGAGGGTTCAGGATAATGCTACTGTTTTAATACATCTGGCATTAGTATTAGGGTTACAGCTCGGTGTGGCAATAGGCCTGGAGCTGCCATTAGTTGCAAAGGTTGGGTATAGGTTTAGTTTTAGCATAAGGGGTAGGGCTAGGGTTAGGGTTAGGTTATGGTTGAGATTAGGGTTAAAGCTAGGGGTCGGGTTTCATTTGGAATTTAGTGTTGGCATTAGTAATTACCTAATAAATCATGCAAAAAAAAAATCAGATCCATGTTGTTAAAATCATAGCAGGTCAATCAATAGCTTAATGTTTATGATTTTCATGTACAACAAGGTTTCAATTATGTCCCGAGTTTATTGTATTATGCTTATTTTAATGAACTATGTCCTATGCTTATATTAACATAACTAAATATTTGTTCACTCCCTGAGGCTCAGGTTTTACTTGTAATCTTGACCTTAAAATATTAACGTAAATGAAATGCTTCCATGAGGTGACTTACTGATTTTACAGTATCTTCTTTTAGGTGTTTTCATCACTTCTGGTGTTTCATACTTATTATCTATGCACATAGGAATACTACAGAAGGTTACAGTTAGGTGAGAAAGCCCCGCAAGCTATTTTTAAAAGCAAGCTTTGAATTCCACATTATGTTGATTTTGTCCATTTGATGAGAAATGGTAATCAACATAGCTGTTCAATAAAAATACACCTGTCGCCTCTCAAAACAAAATAAGGCCGCTGCAGTGAAGCTACTAGCCGACAAACAGCTGCTCTCGATTATCAGAGGGTGTACTATTTTTAGGAAGCCATGCATCATATTTGATTGAAGCCCATTGTTTCAAGTGCAATTACTACATGGTCAGGCCTCATATGTATGCATAATGTCTGTGTAATTTGTTAGTCTTTACAGCAAACCTTGGTAGAGGTTCAAAATCAACAGTGTAGAAAAATCAATCAGGTCTCATTGAGTGTTACTAATGGTTTGTGTGATGCATGTTGACCTGCATGGTAACTATAATACAGAATTGTATATAGTATATATATATATAGGTAAAATAACTAAACGATATAAATATAAAACACAGAAATATGACAAATCACAAATTACTCCTTCCAATCACTGAAACTGGGTAGTAAATATCGTGTATATATCAGGGACATTTTTTTGTGATTGACGGGCAAATCTAAAGAAGAAAACAGCATACCAAAGTCTCAAAAACATTATGCAGTCGGAATTGAGAGAATTAGTGAGAGAAATATTGATTCTTTTCATTATACAGTTTTCTTTGAAATATTTTTGTGTCACTTTGAACATTATTTTTAATTAAAAGAGTATACAAAAATAAAATGTACATGTTTATAACAGAACCTCAATACTAATTGACTTAGCTAGGGTATACGATGCATAACGAATCTGTTTTCTTTGACAGGACATGCACATTATTAGCACAGATGAGAACCAGGTTTTTGCAGCAGTGCAGGAGTGGAATCAGAATGACACATATAATCTATATATATCTGACACACGTGGAATCTACTTTACCCTGGCCCTGGAGAATCTTAAAACCACCCGAGGACTTGAGGGAAACATTATGATCGACTTTTATGAGGTATGTGTCCATAAGGAAATATGCATTCATTCTTGGTTTAGTTGGGTGCGATGTTTTCCATTTGCCACATAAACATTCAATAAAGAAACAATTTTACCGCTCTACAAATAAGGTTTCTTATTCGTAAGAAACCTTAGTTGTAGAAATAAGGGAAATCTATCGAGATTTAACAGAAGCTTTAGCCAAGATCCATTGTTTTGCAGAGGAGACACCGTATGATAAAAGGATTGACATAAACAACATATTTCAGTGTTTTACAGAACATAGCATAATCATTCATATGATCCTTTGGGACAATGCGGAAGTTGGCCTATCTTGGAAATATACTGAGTAATATTATTATTATGTAATTAGTACAATAATATTAACATAAACTAGTACAGGAAAATTACCATAATATGTTGACATGAAGCCAAATGCTATTTGTTTATGCTTTTCAGTATAAAATAAAGTTGTAAATTTTGAAAATGGATGTACAGACAACAATAAGTGACTGAAAGACATTCATCCATCCTTCAAATGCTTATCCAGTACAAGGTCACAGAGGGCACCAGCTACAAGGCAGGGGAACGCCCAGCAGTGCATACACACACAAACGATTGGGAATTTAGAAATCTCATTTAGCCTAACTGTGTCCCTGCACTGCAAAAATTAACTGGACTGCACCTGTATTTTTATGATTAAAATACAGTAATATGATTAAAATACAATGATATAATCCTAATTGGGAATTCTGGCTAATCCCCTTTTTCTTACAGGTGATATAATTCTCTTTCCCAGTTTTGTTTACATACGTCCTTTTTCAAATAAGGCAGGAGAGAAGGACTGCCTTTAGCTGTCCTTGTGGAACAAACACATGAAAGTCAAAAACACTTTCCACAAGAGGTACATCTTAATATTGCAGTGAGGTTTTTTTTGTATTTTATATATATATATATATATATATAT